GGGATCTGCCTGACTCTGCTCCACAGTACTTGGGTTATAAGCCTGGCTTTTCCGTAGGGGCCGAGGATTTGAACTCAGATCCTCACATTTGTATGGCAAATGCTATTACCACTGAGCCATCTCCCCAGCCTCTATTGTATATATTTTTATGCATCATAATATTTTAAAATAATAGCACATACAAGAAAGAGAAAAGTTTGCATGTCAACCGTATCTCTCGACAAACCAGAGCGTTCCTGCACTTGCTATGGACTGCTTCCTTTTGTCTTGGGTTCTCCTGCCAGCTCGATTTATTTCTGGGGCCCACTGGGGACGGACATGGTTTCAGGGCATCACTGCCACTGTGGTCACCCACCTTCCCCAGCGCACACGGACTAATGGTAACGAAGTGTCGATTCCCCTGTTAACGGTCCATCATCAGGCTGGCAGTAGCCTCTCTAGCAAGAGACCCCAAGAACATCTGGCTTACAGAACAGAGGGGCCACTTCTTGGCTGTGCACCAGGCAACAAACAAGGCTCCAAACATGAGGCCATGAACAGGGTTCAGGGCCACAGTCTTCCTCTTAAACGAGTGACATGGAATGCATGTACCACTGTTACAGGATAAAATACATCCGGTGACTCCTAATCCCTGGGCTCAGGAGGTTGTGTCTAGTGAGGGGGTCTCTAAAGAGGTGGTTAAGTGATGAGTCCTAACCAGTGCAACTGGCGTCCTTGTATGAGAAGATTGGGATGCAGACACGCAAAGTGGGGTGACCACATGAGTCTCAAACAGAAAAGACCACTTGGGAACTAAGGAGAGAGGACTCAGGAGGAACCAGCCCTGCTCACACCTTGGTCTTGGAGTTGCAGCCTTCAGAACTGTGAGAGGTGAGTGCTGTAAGGAGTCTGGCCGCTAGCGCAAGCTGATACGCGCCGCTCCTCACCCGGCTCTGAGGAGAAAGGCTGCATGTCAAAGCAGCTCCCAGTGAATGAAGAAATAAGATCACCAGGGTGTGCTCCCACCTCTCGCCTTTGGAGGAAGGGATGACATGGGCGGGTGGGTGGCCATGTGGATGGGCTTCCAGAAGCGTGGGTCTGCTGACAGTGATGGCTGTGACAGAGGCAGTGCTGTCCCCTGGCTCACTAGTGAGGATCCTGAAAGCGTAAGACACGTTTAAGAAATGAAATGGCTCTTCTCTGCGAGTTCGAGGACAGCCTGGTATTCAGAGCAAGTTCCAGGACAGCTAGGACTACACCAAGAAACCCTGTCTTGAAAAACAAAAAACAAAACAAAACAAAACCAAAACCAAAAAAGAAAAAAGAAAAAGAAAGAAATTGGCTCTTGCTGGGCATGGTGGAATACAAAGATCTCTGTGAGTTCAAGGCCAGGCTGGTCTATATAGAGAGCTCTAGGACAAGCAGGACAACATAGAAAGACTTTGTCTCAAAGCAAACAAACAAACAAACAAAAAAGGAAAGAAAAAAAAGAGAGAAAAGAAAAGAAAGGCTCTTGTGGCTGAGGGGATGGCTCAGTGGTTAAGAGAGATTATTGCGCTTCCAGGATCTGGGTTCGGTTCCCAGCACTCATGCTGGATGACTCACAGCTGCCTGTAACTCAAGCTCCAGGTGGGATTTGACACCTCAGGATTTCTCGGGTGTTCATTTCCTCATCACTCACACACAGACACACATATGCATATATAATTTAAAACTTTAAAAAATAATCTTTTTTAAAATAAATAACCTCTTTCTAATAGAAACAAAATGCAGCTTAGTTGATAGGGCATTCTAGAAACTTTATCCATTGGCCGATGCCTTCCTTCCACCTCACAATGGGCAGGGGTCCCACTTTGGTACACCAGTTAGGCATGACACCAGTATCAAGGCTGCTGCTTGGTGTCCATGGTGACCTGGGCTCCTTACACATTCTTGGTTTTAACTTTTCGCATAATTGACAGGTGGCAGCTGGGGGGTATGACTCGGTTGGTAGGGTGCTTGCCCAGCATGCACAAAGCCATAGCTTCCTCCCCCAGCACCACATAAACCAGGTGTGGTGGTGTTCGTAATCCCAGGAGCTGGTAGACAGAGGCAGGGGGATCAGAAGTTTAAGATCATCCTCAACTACAAGGGA